TACCATTGAACTAGGTTTTGAGTTCTCATGTCATTTGAGGTGTGATTTTAATTCCAAATCAGAAGCTGGTCACTTCCACTGGGGCATCCGTAACATATCCAAATGTCACCAATGTCACTCCTGGGTACTTGATGTAGCTACCATTTAATAAGGTTTAAAATTCTGATGTGATTTGAGGTGTCGCAAGATAGGTTTTGGTCCATGTCAGAGACTGACCACTTACCCGGAGGTATCCGGAACATGTCCAGATGAGACCAATGTGGACCTGGGCACTTTTTAAAGCGAATATTTGCTCTAACATCACCTTCTGATGACATATTGTTGATGATAACCTTCTGATAATATTTTGGTGCGGTGAATAATCTGATTTGATCTACATATTCGTTACTTCGCAAAGCATGATGACCAGCAAATGGCGATTATCAATATTTTCCACTTTTGATTCCCGGAATGTTGGCAACTTTCCCGGTTGTATGCATTTACATTTAAATTAAGCATAAAGCCGAGTGCGATTGAGCCGACCAAATCAATATGTTAAATACATCTTGATAATTCACTCAGAAATCTTTACTTAATTTCTATGGAATGTTTTCAAGAATTTCCTGTTTACAGAACTCTTTTTAGCATTCCCCTAAAATAAGCATGAGAACCTCTCTGAAATTCTCCCGTAGATTCCACTTCACAAAATTCTTGGGATTTGCCTTAAGATTCTCTTTGAACTTTAACTCTTCTCAGAATTCCTTGGGAATTGTTTTGTCAAAACTCGATTCCCCTGGTATTCATCTCCGAATTTCCTTAGAATTCAATTGTCTTAAGAATCGACTTGGAATTATCCTCAAAATAAGTTACAATATTCATTAGGATTTAACCTGGTATCTTCGTCACAATTGCCATGAAATTCTCCTCAGGACCACTTAAAAATTCTACTCAACACTCTTCATACATGCCACTTGGAGCTCTTCCCACAATCGCCTTGGAACTCTTTTCACAATTTCCTTGGAGTTCAGTCCACATTGTGCGCTCTTGCCGTGCGGATCTATTTGTTTTTTTGCTGAAGGAAGTGTTACTGCTACCTAAAGCTACAACAAATTTAAACAGTACTTTTCAGTGCTCAATAAACCTGCAAATTTTCTACCTTTTTCGATTCTTATTCCTCTTCGATCCTTGTTTGGATCCTACCTGAGGTAATCCTGCTTGGATATCGATTTGGAAAATTCCTCTTCGATCCTTCGGACTCTTATAGTAATCTGCTTGGAAGTCGATTTGGAGAAACGTTTTACAGCCGCCGTGGCGCCTAAACGCAAAAGAAAAGGGCAATATCTTGATCCCCTTCTGATGAAATTTATTTGAGCAATACATTTGATATGCTCACGGGTCATGAGAATGGTCCATCAACCAGGTAAAATTCCACTAAACTTTCCCGGCTTAAGTCCAAGAAGGAAAAGGTCACCCCTTTTGTCATAACCCCTTCCAATTTCCATGCACTTCACACGGAACTTTTGAACTTCGTTAAATTGAAGTTTTCACTTCAAATTGGCCGTCGGGATGAATGCCGTGTATTGGCTGAAACCTTGGATGGATTCAAACGTCTCGACTAAATTACTTGGAGTTGAGTCACTCCAAGTAATCAAAATGAAAATGAAATCCCGTCCTGGCGATTCACGCAACGGGAATTCCAATGATTTTTATTTAGTTCACTTCAAGTCTAGTGAACTAAACAACTTTAAAGCCTTAGAAAAATCTAGCCTTATGCTCCATGTCCGAGTAAAGTGGGAACACTTCAGGAAAACTGGAGGAAATTTCCAAAACCTTACCCAGTGCCGTAAGTGCCAAGGATGGATCTCGGAAAAAAAAAATTATACATGCCAGCAAAATGCATGAACTGTGGAGATTCCTCTTTACTGTCATGTGAAGGAAGATCATAAGAAATATAAATCTTCAAATTGTGGTGAAAACCATAAATTCTATTTTCAGGTATGTAAGACTCGCAAAGCTATCCTACAATCTCGTTCAAAGTGACAGGTAGGAAACGCACCATGTTCCCGATCAGGTACTAATTTCTTTGCTGTTAGCAACGGTCAGCGAGGAACAAATTCTTCATGTATACCTGCTCCCTTCACTGCTAACAATGTTCAGCGAGTAAATGGAGCTGCCTATGCTGCTATTGCAGCTGGTAGAAATTAAAATTCTAGTCAACATAAGTCTAAAGGAAATTTTGATAATTTTGACTTGGGAAGGAATTTTTACAGGAATCATGAATCGACATGATTACTGATATGCTGAAATTTAACTTCATGTTTGATGATATTCAGACTACAGCCGCAGGCAGTATTTGAGCAAAGTCAGGCGCACACTTTTTGCCTGTAGATTTGAAAACATACTTCAAATCTCCGCGTACATCGTACGGGTTAGGCAAAGTGTGTGCGTTTGACTCGCATTGTCGCATTAATGGTCCTTCGCTCATTTTCAACTTCTATTCAATTTTCATACTGCCGTACTCTAACGGAAATATCTACCTACCCTCTTCTAAGACCATTCTCTAGCTTATAAATTATCACACTAAAGCTTCATGTTAGATAGCATTTCCAACCAACTCTGAAAATCTCAAACTTCGCGTATGAAAACACTTTGAATGCTCAGAGACTTGCTATGCAATTCGCGAATTCCCATAATTTCAGAATTGATTATTAGTTTGCTCGGGATTATCAGAATATTTTTGATCATTCCTGGGGGAGTGATTTGAACGAAGTAAGATCTATAACTAAAAAAATTATATATGAAAGCTCCAGGTGATGATGGAATTTTTTATATCCTCATCAAAAAACTTTCAGAGTGCCTTGTCTTTTTGGCAAACAGATGTTTCCATTTGGCATATACTTTCCTGATGAATGGAAAAAAAATGCAAATGTTGTTCCAATTTTGAAGCCGGATAAAAATCAAGCTGAAGCTTCTAGCTACCGTTCAATAAGTTTGCTTTCTTCAATAAGTAAACGTTTTGAAAAGATTTTTTTTAATAGAATGATGATTCACATCAATACGAACTAAATTTTCGCAGATGAGCACTTTGGATTTCGCCATGGGCATTTAACTACTCATCAACTCTTAAGAGTTACCAATTTAATTCGTTCAAACAAATCTGAAGGCATCTCAACTGGAGTTGCTTTTCTGGACATAGAAAAAGCATACGACGGTGTTTGGCTTGAAGGTTTGATTGCTAAATTGAAAAGTTTAATTTTCCACTCTATATTACAGAATTAGTTCAAAATTATGTAACTGACAGAACTAGGTAAATTATCAAAATTCAAAATCTGATCAACTACCTGTTAGAGCAGGAGTTCCTCAGGATGATAACATTTTCACTTCGGTCCTCTCTGATTTGCCTCAGGGTTGCCACAAATCTTCCCCTATGATATCAGGTTGTAAATTTTACTTTGCTCGGGTATTAAACGGAATTAAAAATAATATACCCAATCCATCCTAATAGCTCTTCAAGTAGGATTCCGTTGAGGTCGGGTTTATTATAAGAAAATATAAACAGTTTCTATCTATCTATCTGAAAACTTGTGTTAATTCTCAACAGCTTGAATAATTTTAAATACAAGACATCTAACTCAATACTGATAACAAATAAATTCGCGTTTTAACTAAATTATAATTATACTAAGCGACTGTCCATATACCACGTTGACCGTTTTGAGGAAGAGTAGCGGATGACAGTGGTCCTTTTTTTTTAATTTACGTTAGTGGAGAAGGACGCGTCTAAAATCTCACAAAAACTGTCCACGTGGAATTAACCTAATTTTTAACTTGGATAAATGTACCATGAAATCACAAATGAATTAAGAAGTGTGACGAACAGTTGGAGGGAAAAAAGGTCGACCGGACAAATGGTCGAAGGAACAAATGGTTGCAGGGTCAAATCACCGAGGTCGAACGAAATTTAAAGAGGGACAAAAGGTCGAAATGGACAAAAGGTCCTTTGCTTCGGAATCAACACCAAAATGACGTTGTATTTCGCTGTTCAACTGGACACTCTGATAACTGATTATTACAACTTCGTTTATTGGAACGATCGTTTTAAAACTCATTAAATACGCGTCAATCAAGATTTGCCATATTAGTTGATTGATGGTCATTATCAGTGATATAAAAACATACATAATGTACATTTGAAAATGACTTCTTGAAATCGACTACGATAGTCTCCCGACTTCTTGAAGCCATAATAAATTATTGCAGGCATCTTTTATCCATAATGCCACTGTCATACCGTAGGAGTTAGATAGCACATACATGCATACATACATCCAGAATCGACTGCTGTTTACAGCTATCGCGAATCGAACCAGCCGTTATCAGCAGTTACATAAATTCTCAGCCAAACCGAGACATGTTGATCATACTAATTTTGATTGTTATCGCATTTGGTTTCAACATATGGTGCATAGACAAGGTAAACATTCGCTTCATAACCTACACCAACGGACCGAGTGAACTAAGAACTTTGACTTTACCCGAACCTTAAATAAAGCGATATCCAGTGCCAGTGTAAGGGACAATACTTTTTCGTATGAGAAGATTTGAACAGATGAGATCTGCACGGCCTTTTGAACCACTGTGCAACGCTATCGTCACAATCAATTTGTTCAAGGAATGGACATTTCACAATGGGGTTCCATTCAAAAAATACGTAGCATTGATTATTCCTTCTTCCTAAATCGAACCACCATCGACCACACATTGCGTAATATACTATAAGAATGGGCCAGAACCAATTCTACTATGACACGTCCAAGAATCTATAACTGAAGCTAGACATCTGTCCTGTATCGACTGAAGAATTTCCGTAGTTCACAGTTGATATCAGGAAATTTCATCATTAACGTTATCAGTGACGTTTCTGGTCCGTTTCATTCGTACAAAAATGGCTTGAAATCACTCTATTGACGTCGTCTTGTGAGTAGCTAGCTCCTTTGAAGAATTTAGGTGGATTGATCTGTCGTATATTTGGATATCAACCGACACGTTAGGAAAAAAAAAATGCCACAGCTAGAATGCTATTTACGTTCCAGTTGCGAATCGTGGTGCGTGTGTTCACGGAACTACCTTTTAGACAGGAGTGCCCGATCGGAGCTCAAAAATATGGTTAAAAATAAGAAACAGATATTCGCGGCCCTCTTGCTCTTGGCAGTGATAGTGCTGTACGTTAAGTTTGAAGCACTACAGAATGAAATAGTTATTCAGATCACAGATGTAAGGACAATTTCTTCACGAACCGTCGTGTTCAGCGAATCATCTGTACAGGTTGCGAATTCGTCTACTACGTACCGATTGTGGACGAAGAGCCCGGATCATCAGGATGGGATATACCATCTGCCGGACGTTCAACGGAACGAGCACGAGATACAGCCTGCGAAGAATATCTTCTTCATAGTATCCACTATAACAAGGATGGGCATAGCCAACCTAACTGCCCGGCAATCTTGTGCGATCGAGTCCGCTGCAAGATCCAACCCGGATTGGAGCGTGTTTGTGCTGTTCACGCCAGCTACCTTGTTCAGCTTCTACAACAGTAGCCATATCATTCCACTACTGGTTTATCCGAACGTTCATCTAAGGCGAATTAATGTGACAACCTACGCGGTTGGAACACCTCTGGAAAACTTCTTCGAGAAAAATTCCCTTAAGAATTCCAGCTACATCGTTGAGCACACATCCGATATCCTAAGACTTCTCACGCTGTACAAATACGGAGGCACATATCTGGATACGGACGTGGTAGTAATGAAATCTTTGAACGAGCTACCACTCAACTATCTTGGATCCGAAGGTGATGGTTACATCGCTAACGGCATAATCAACTTTCAAGCCAAAGGATATGGGCATGCAGTCGCGGAATCTTGTTTGATGTTGGTTGATTATTGGTTGAATCTGATGGAAACGAGTGCAATCATGTCGTAGATAATGAAAATGTTTTCTTTTTTGCAGTGATATCTCTGCAAATTACAACGGCTCGGTGTGGGCAGCCAACGGTCCTTTTCTGGTGACTCGTATAATGCGCAAGTTTTGCAACGTAACCAACGTGTGGGACATGACGCGGGAAAAGTGTGGTGGACAGATGACCATTCTACCTCCGGATACGTTCTTCCAGATTACGTATCCCCACCACACGTGGTACTTCGAGGAAGAGCACGCCAAAGAGGCACTGGAGAAGGTCTCCGGCCATGTACTTACCCATTTGTGGAATAAGTTGACCCATGGAATACAGCTCCGGACGACTAGTAAGGTGGCATACATAGTGTTGGCAAAGTCGTATTGTCCAAATGTGATAAGAAATTGTAAGGAGTATTTTTGAGTGATAATAAATGATGTCAAAAGCCGGAAATTGGGTGTCCTAGGAACGTTGCACGAGTTTGTCAAGTGTTGAATGAGTGTTCAAACCGATGACGATAGACATCCAACGAATATAAAAATACGAACAGACATCAGCCGGTACTGTTAGATAACGTGACACTAAAAGAGTAACTCAATCCAACTCTACTATTAAACACGGTAGCAACATGCGGTGAAAATTTGTCGCATTTGTAGACTAATCGTGTCGAACAGCACATAGCATAAAAGTGTTAGCACCTTCCACCGCGTGGTACTTAATTTTTGTATGAATATTTGAAAATATCTTGATCATGAACTTTGCGTTCGCCACCGCCGAAGAAATCCGTTCAGCACTTAACCTCTTCACCACATGGTAGCATTCTCTAAAAATAATTAGCTGAATAGACAAAAAGAATCATTTCGCATTATGGACGCCAAGCGTCATCCACCATGCGACGATTCCGTCAGCGTGATGAACGAGTTCAAACGTGATCTCCTTACTATTTTTTTCTGCCACAGAGTGATGAATGTTTGGTATTTTCCGCTTCTACCCCCGTGTTACGTCGCCGCCACCAAAGGTCATACGCCGCGGAAATTTGAAGAGCTGCAAACGACTAAGCGTTGGCGTCGGCGTCGATTTGGGATGAAAAATTAAGAGCTGTTTTTCCACCACAATTTGAGGTTCGTTTCCGATTTTGTTTGCGCCGGTGGGTGGAGCGATATTTGCGTCGAAATTCCACAGACACAGCACAACGGGGTATGCCAGGTGATTAATAGTGTTGATCATTTATTATAAATGCGTGGTTTGGGCATATTTTACCGATTGGTCATCGTGGTACAGCGAAGGATTCCGAATTCGTACTGTTTAGTGATCGACTAAGTAAAATGCTATAGGAATTGATCTGTGTGAATTAAATTTTTTTCCAAGTAGTATTCCCTTTATACTTAGGATACATTTCCGCAGGATAGGAAATATTATAGTAAATGTGAGTTACACTCCCATGCAGGTGAACTTTGTGGAGTAGGAAATGGTTGCTCAGGATGAACACCGGCAGGGATTTGGCTCATCTTGTCCATCAAGAGCTGCGATATGAAGATGAAATGGATTTCAAAACTTCGCCAGGATGTCTATACCAACTTTAGACAAGCTAGTGGGAAAAGTTCTCACTAGATATACATGATTCCTTGAGTTCTGAAAATTTCTGTTAACAACTCAATTCTGCAAGGTCTTCAAACCTTCTGACGTCCCTGAAGTTTTGTTTCTGTTCTCCGGTAAAATTTAATTAAAAATCAACAATGTTTCCTGACAATCTGCAAATATCTCGGTAGTTCTACAGATTTCTTTGAAGTTCTGTGTGTTCTTCAGAAGTTCAGCAAATTTTCCTAAAAACCTACAAAGTTCCTGAATCCCTGAAGATTTAAGATCCTTGAAGATCAACAATTATCTGTGATGTTCACAACATTTCTAATAATCTACAAACTTCTCGAAAGTTCTGTAATTTTCTCTGCAGATTTTCATGATTCAATGAATATCTACAAATATCTCTGAACATCTATACAATTTTCTAAAGAATTAGAAGATTATCTAGACATTTTTGAACTTTCCGGAAGTTTTAGGAAGTATTCTGAAGTTTTTCTAATTTTTCTGAAGCTGTGCAAATATCTCTAAAGATCAGCGAACTTACCTGAAGTTCTGTGAATGTCTTTCAAAATCCAAGAACCGCAGTAAAATTCTGAAAATTTATTTAAACATCTGCTAATTTTTGAGTAGATTTACGACCTACCCTCTGAACTTTTCTAAAGTTCCTAAAATTTATTTCAAATTCTGTAAAGTTTTCTGAAGTACTGTATTTCTGCTCTAAAGATCTACGAACTGCCCTGAAGTTCAATAAATTTCACAGTAGATCTCCAACTTTTATAAAGTTATTTAAATTTCTTTGAGGATTCTTGATCTAAAGATCGGCGAACTTTCCCGAAAACGTACGAATTTTCTGACGTTCTACAGACTTCTCTTAAGGTCTACGGACTTCTCTGAAGTTCTTTAGATTTATCTATTTCCGACTTCCATGGAGTTCTGCAAAATATTGTACTTTTGTACTTCGCTGCGATTTGTTTTTGGAATTGAGGTGCTTTTCTGACATTTAACGAATTTTTCTGAAGATCTCACATTTGTGTGAAACTGTGAAACTTTCCGTCAAATTCCTGCAAATATCTTTAAAGTTCTGTAAAGTTGTCTTAAGCTCCGTAGCTCTATTCCCAAGATCTACAAAAAAAAAAAACTTGAGGCTCGATAAATTTCTCAGTAGATCTGTAAACTTCTCTGATGTTTTGTAAATTCCTCTAGGGTTACCCTGAAGATTTGAAACTTTCCTTGAAGATTACCTAAAGTTGTCAAAATTTATCAGAAAATATTTGAGCTTCCTTGAAGTTTTAAATGTCTCTCTCAAGATCTACAAATTTTCCTGAAATCGTGTAAATATTTATTTTTTTAAATCCCTGAAGTTCTGCAATTTTTACAGAATATCCATTAACATTTCTGAGATTCTTGTGATTTTTTCAGAAGTCCTGTGGATTTTTTTCAAAGTTCTGAAGTTTTTTTCTGAAGTTTTTTTCTGAAGATCTACGAACTTTTGTGATGTTGAATAATGTTTCGAGGATCTCCAAACTTCTGTGAAATACTATATATTTCCCTGTAGATTCTTGGACTTATCTGAAGTTATGCGAATTTTCCTGAAGATTTGTAAAATTTCGCTTATAGTTTTACAAATTGATTTGAAATTATTTTTGCTTGCTTGAAGTTTTGAAAATTTCTTTGAACATTTATCTGAAGATCTACGACCTCTCTTGTGATTTTGTTTTTATGTATTTCTGTTAATAACTTTTAATTTGTTTGTAGTTCTGTTCTCAAGATCTACGAACTACCCTGAAGCTCAACAAATTTCTCAGTAGATCTCCGACCCTCTCTGAAGCTCAAAAAAAAAATTCTATGTTGGGTCTCAGACCTGCTGTCTGGCATGCTTATTCTAATACAATACATGCTTCGTATGCTTCCTTTTAACGATTGCCAGTCTCTCTTTTTCGGCTTTTTCCTTTTTACGACGATTTTGATCCTCCACATACAAATCAGCGAAGAGCGAGCGTGACAAGACTCTCTGAATGAACTTGTCTCGTTCGCACACGTTGTCTTAGCTGTCAGATGCTTGTCAAGTTCATTGTCCTTAAGAAACGTTTCGAGAAACCGAACGAAAAACTTCTTTTGAATTACGAATGAAGTGATAATTGGAAAATTCCCTGAGTGGAACCAAAATTCCCTGAATATTCCAGGTTTTTCCAGGAAAAATAAAATTCCCTGTAAATTCCCGGTTTTCCTGGTTTTAACAGGTAGTAGACACCCTGGGTAGGTACATGCTTCACAGGACTTGAAATTAAACATTTTTTTGGAACATTCGTCTAATTCAAGTTAGCTTTGTTTAGTTACATTGAAAACATGTTTGTTTTTTTTTTCTTCATGTGCTATCCGTCAATCTAATTTTCCGTACTGAGTACCAATGCTACCGAATAAACTTTACAGAGCCGAGTTATCATTTTTGTTATACATTATTACTGTCTTATATTTAAAGTTAACCCTCCGTTACTCGCGCCAACTTTTATAACACGAGTACTCACGCGTTGTACTTTGTACAACAGTGTGAGTTTACCATTGCCATTTTGCAGCCGAGCTACCAATCGATATGAAACCAACGGGTATTTATTAAAAAAAAAAACTTTTTTTTAACTAAACAAGCTAAAATTTTATCACAGTTAACCCACAAAAATGCGGATAATAGAGAAATTGTGAATGGAAACCGCGTTAACGGTGTCCGTACTACGTGGAATTTGACTTAATTGGTTACAACATAGAAAATCTCGAGATCCTGACCAGATAGAAAATTACTGTCTTCGGCAAAGTTGTTCTAGAGATCATAATCTTTTCGCTGGTGCAGAGTAGTTCAGAATTTTCTCACAACGTAGCGCTAGAATACATGTGAAATTATCGCATGTGATATATTTAGGTCAACTTAACCTTTACGTTCCTGGACGTTCGCCAACGAAACTTTTTACTGCTTGAGCCCCTCATTGTACGGCCTTCATGATCCTGTCCGCTTAATGCCGGCTAGATTCAATGAAGTCTACATCCTCTTCGACTTCAACTCTACTGTGGCAACATTTAAGCATAGACTAACTGAATTGCATTAATGGATCGAGTGAGATTCGTTACTGTGAAAGGTGAGTAATATTCCATCGCTCCTAAATTGTAACGATTATGCTACCTGTATCTTTTTTTTCACGATTCACCACTACCGGCGAGGATTGCTCCGGATGATGGATGTCCAATGGAGCTGATTAAATTATAAATTTTTATGTTTTTGACTACAGTTGAGATTTGAAGTCATGTTTATTCTATGTTATGTTCACGGATGTTCTTGTTTTGTAATGTTTGTACTGTATTGGCTTTAAAATAAAATACTTATAAGACGACAAAAAGTCAGATGAATAAATAAAAAAATAAAAGGCTAGATGACAATGTAAAAAAATGGTTTTCCCATATTAATTCCCATATAAACTTCAAATGGTTTGTGCCAAGTCAGTTTTTTTATCAAATGAGTTTAAATTTTGCGATGCTTATCAGAACCCGATGTAGAACAGTTTGAGCACTGTGGAGGGAAAATTTCAAAATTACAATAATAGCCTAATAGCCATACAATAATAAAACATGTACGATCATTTGTTGCTTTTATTGACCTTCCTGGCGTTTATAAAACGCACACTTGCGTAGTCCCATTTTCAAATGCGAAGTTTGTTATCATCACTTTCGCTCCAGCCAAAAATGTTGGTTTGATATTTTTATCCTAACTTTCGTACTATCAATACTCGTGCGCGTAGAATGAACGTCAGTTTTGATGTTTTTATGATAACTGATATTAGGGTGCTTCATTAAAAAAAAAAAGTATGTGTAATCAGTGCAGCCACTCT